CCACTTCGTTAACTATTTGTATTGAGCCCGCTGGAAAATCTAAAGCGGGCCCCGCTGGAAACAAGTTATCTCTCCCTTTTTTCTACATAGACATAGGTTTTTTGACTTGGCAACACGGTCGGCCGACGGGTTTTATCCCTCCTGGAGCGCGCACTTTTATTGTCCTTATCTGTAGACATTACTTTCGTTCAAGTTTACTATCAAAACCAAAAAAACAAATTCAAAACCAAATTTCTGAAACGACAAATCGACCATCGGTTAAAGTTCGTACATTGCTATTTGCAATTGCTGTGACTGTAGAACAATCTTGGCCAACATCTCGCCGACTTAAAAATAAAGAGAAAATTGAGGGGATTTCAGCGCATTTTTGTGTGCCAGATCAGTGTTTTAATAGCCAGTGTTGACTCCACCATCAATAAAAGATCTTGTCGAAGGCTACCACATTCTCTTTGTCGGTACTCGCTTACGACGTCCCGTCGACTCCCCTCGAGGACAAAAAGGTGGTTAATTTCGCCCCTATGAAAAAAACAACATTCCGTCACGCAGGAGTTGTGCGCGTTTACAGGATCTTTCCGACGACAACAATTTGAAAATAATCGAACCGAAAATGTAGAAGATAGGAAAAAATTGACAAATCATCACGTTAGTATAAAACTCGGGAATGGCGCCCAGATGTCGCCGACTCCACGTCATGTAGTCCCTAAAGTTGTCAGTGACACAGCTGCGGTAGATACATGTACACTCCTCGTTCTTCTACCGGCTCGCATTTGCTGTCAGCCAGTCAGCCGACTAAAGTGAGATTAAAGGGTACTTTTTTAGAAATAAAAAATGCGCTAAAAATTAAAATGGACTTCGATAACTGGTTTAGATGTCGAGTTCACCACGCGCCTCTCCATGTCCAAACAAAATGCGCGAACGATCTAGTTTTATGCCGCAAAAGCGCGCTTACTTCGTTTGAATTTAAAATGAGAAAAATGCAGATTGTATTTATTCTCTTAACCGTGCAAAGTTTATATACAGGAATACAGGACAATTTAAAAATATATGTTCAGGTATCATTTTAACTTCTGCTCATTTTTGAATGTCTATTAACCTAGCAAGGTCAGCAGAACACAATCAAACATATTGCATAATTAGGCGCTAATGAAGTGCCTTATTCCTATTCCCGAATTAAATGCTCCTTTTTTAAAAAATTATTACATGTGCTTCCAGGTTCATATGAACTCACCAGAGTAATACTTTAAAAACCCAAAAAAATGAAAAGTGAACTAACTATAATTAGGTGCTAATTAAGTGCCCTATTCCCGAATTAAATGCTTCTTTTTTTTTAAATTATGAACCTGGCAGAAAGTGTAATAATTTAAAAAAAAGGAAGCATTTAATTCGGGGAGAGGCCACTTAATTAGCACCTAATTATAGTTAGTGCACTTTTCATTTTCTTAGTTTTTTGAGGTAGTGTTCTGGTGATTTCATATGCACCTGGTAGAACATGTAGTAATTTAATAAAAAGGAGCATTTAATTCGGGAATAGGGCATTTAATTAGCACCTAATTATAGTTAGTTCACTTTTTATTTTCTTGGACTTTAAAGGTAGTGTTCTGCTGAGTTCATATAAACCTGGCATAAAATGGAATAATTAAAAAAAAGGAGCATTTAATGTTAAAATTATAATTTTTGATTCGTTATTTTCATATTGGAAAATCCTGAGGTGTTTAATTTGATCGAGAATAGAAATTGGAATTTCTTCGTACCCTCGTTTAGGGGTGCACCATCTTGGAATAGGAATTTTTAAAATGTTTTTACAAAATCAAAAGGTTATTGATCTGTACAGGGTGGTTCAAATTCGTGGCTCACCGGTATCTCCGTAACGGTGAGATAAACAGGCGTTAAATGTCAAGTATAGCTTAAATATTTAAATCTGTGCTAAAACGGTCGGAAATGGACGATTCCCGACACTTTCTTTTCGGAGAATATCAATCTGTTATCAGACTTTCCATAACACGCTAGATGTAGGTAGAAGCAAGGTGCTTCAAGGCTCCATACAGTTTTTTAGAAGCGAATCTTTTTTTTCAAATTTTATCGTAATATGACAGCAAAAATAAGAATGGACCAGGAGAGCGTTGGGCGGGTTTATTAAATTAAAGTGTTGACATTTTTGAATTGTATGTAAAAAAATGTTCACTGTAAAACTTACCGTCAAAGTGCTTGGAACCCTGGAGTTGCTTGTTTTTCAAAGCATTCTTGAGTTGCGTTCATTTGCATAGTTTTGCAAAGGAGGTTTCTATAAAGGGATTGCCACTTTATCCTGTAAAATGGTTGTTTTGTAATTTGGCTTTCATTATACGTACTTATATAAATATCATCAACAGCTCAACTCTTTTGTAATTACGCTAAACTACGAGTCCGTAAAGAGCTTTAATTAATTTAAGTATTTAAACCTGATGCACGCGATTTCATTTGAAAAATGTTTACGGTAACTGTTGACAGATGAAACGATTCGATCGGTTAAAAACGAAAACTTTCAACTGTACTGTTCGTATACACTAAACAGCTTACGCGAATGAATAATGAAAGGCGAAGCTGAATTTAATATTACCTACACCAAAAAAATGACAACAAAGGGGCGAATTAGCATCCGCCGAGGGAGTATAACGAGCTTAATTATAGAACCTTTTTTTCGCAACGGTGGACAAATAAAATTCAAGATTTCAATTGCAAACGAAGTGTTTCCTGGAAATTCTTTATGCGAACTTTTCTATTCATCTAACAAACATTCTGCTGCAAAATGCGTCTCATCAATATCGACCCTCACTACAAGCCGATGTCATTTAATGCGCCGTCATAAAAAGTGGTCCCATACGATATCAATAATTAAAAGTATCGCACTTGTGGGAATGTGTTAAGGGTAGTATTTAGTTTTCAACCATATCGGAAGTTGTAATACTGAGCGCCATCTTGAAAAATATCCAATATTGTTCTCATATCCTTTTCTCTGCTCTTTACACTTACACTTCCCTTACCTTCCTAACTTTCTTCAGCTTCTTCGGCACCTCTTATTTCGTCTTCATTTGATGATTTTGGCTTTTTCGTTTCCTTCGATTTCTGAGGCAATTTCCGCCGTTTCAACTCGCATTGCCTTCTCAAGTTTTCACGTTTTTCTAGACTTCCTCGCTTACCTCCTTCTACAGCCACATCCCCTTCAATATTTTCAGCTTAGTTTATTTTCTGGGATGGGCTGCTTCAAGTTCTGCCGATCTCAACTCAATGCTTCCCCCTCGTTCTGAATGGCTCCTTTCGAATACTTCCCAATTTTCGTCGATTTCCTCGTTTGTCGACGTTTTCTTCTTTGCTCTTTTCGCTTTTGATTTGAGATCTTTCTATGCTCTTCTCGGCTCTGTCGAACTTTCACTTCCTTTCTTCGATTACTTTTTTTGCTACTTCGCCTTTTTACGCTTATTCCGCTTCTATTTGAGATTTAGGTACAATATTCTTTTGACTGGTAAGTTTAGTGCTTTTTTTTTACATCTTCTTCGTAAAGGTCCATATGTTACCTACTTTACGTGTTCGATAAAAATTGTGTTTCAATGTAAAATCTGCGATATTTTTGTATGTAGGGCTTAGAGTTAGTTTGCTTCTCTCAATAAAATCTTTTTAATCCACCCTATTTTGTAACCCCCGGTCCGACGCTTCTCTTTCTTATTCGATTCTTTCGACTTCTTCCGGGTCCTGGAGTCTTAAACGCCTTACTACTTCAATTTTTGCTATCGTTTTGATATCTATGACCTCTTCGTTTTTCTAACCTTCATCAGCTTTCTTGTCGATTTTGCTGGCTTCCTCGGCTTCTTCGGTCCCTTGGCATTTCAAGGTTCCACTTGGTCTTCAAAATTTTCAACTTGTTTAATGTCGTCAGTTTCCCGGTCACGTTCGTTTGTTTCGATCACAGGAGATTTCTTGACATCTTCGGGTTCTACGGCCTTATAAACGTTCTCGATGTCAGTTTCCGAACGTGTTGCGAATCCGGGAAGTGGGTCCAATACTTCAATAATTGGAACAAAGCCACCAGCGCGTTTTTTCCCACTAGGACTGTAGAGGTTTGGAGGAAGCACATGGCGCTATCATAAACAAAATCTAGGTATACCTTTTGTTCTTTTGTGGAGCAAGGATTTTGTTGCTGTTTGTACTTGCCATACTTATGATAATAAGAGGAAAAAGTAGGAATGCGCTTTTCAAAAATTCCCTTTCCAAGATGGCGGATCAAAATTCTGGATATGAAAAGAATCATCAAGATTAGTTTTGTTCAAATAAATTCTAATTTTCGCCGCTTGAAAGAAGATACAGGTGTCCTTCGATTTGCTTGAGTTTAATTTTTCGATAACCACATTTAATTAGTTAGGAAAATGTATAGGGGAATATCATCGTTTCGGCACTTCTAAATAAACTCCAGTATTTGACGGGCGGGTTTATTTTCCCTTTATAATTCTGAACAAGCAAGAACGGTTGACACATTAAATACGCTTCCATGGTCTTTTTTGTTGAATGAAGTAATTCAGAGACTACTTTTCGCTTGGGATATTTACAGAGGACGACGAATGGGAAAATTGGGCAGTAAAAAATGGCATATGTCGCTTCCTGAAGGGTCCAGACTATTAATCCCTATTTCAAGGTTACTCTTTGTTTCATGTTTGTTGTGTATGGAACCGTGACGTCAAGGATGCTGCAGAGTGGTAACGATCCGACCGGGCAAACCCGACGCCCTCATAAGCGCCTCGCAGCGTCGTAATGTCAGTCAACGAGTTCCCGCCTTTCCGATCTGTTCGCCTAAGTGTTCGCAAACCAAATTTACAACACAACAAAGCGCTTTCCCTTTTTTTAATGTTTGCCAACTTAATTGCCACAGTTCCATTATTTGTTCCAATTTGTTTTATTTGCAAATGTGCAGCGCGTGCCGCCTCTCTGAATACGCACACGTGGAGGGTTTGTTTATTTTTTTGCATTATCCTACATTCGCTTAGTCAATTTGAAAAGGTATGAGTGGCGTCGAGTTTTTAGTTAAAACATTTACACCAAATGGGCGTCGTCGCCGTCGTCGCGTTGAAGACCAGGATCGTAAACTTGAACTGCCGGGTTACGGTCAATGTCGAACCGAAACGGTTGCCCCCTATTGGAACGCGGCCCCTCCCATTACACCCCCCGCTGCTTTTTTGCCCCCCGGATACAAGAAGAAAAGTGTCGGTAAGTGACTGATGATTGATTCACGGGGCGAAATTACTATATCCACTTCCGTTTCGCCGTTGTATCAAAGGGGTGACATTCGGACGAAGGTTGAAGACGTGTGTACCCTCGGGCGATTCCTTTATTCGCACAAGATTGTCGAGGGTTCTTTTTAATTTTCTCCTTGAATGTGCAACCTTGCGGATAGTTTGTTTAAGTTGCCTAAATAGCACGCGATAATGAGTCATTGCAATCGTTTGGACTCGATCCAAATATTTTTCGCAGTTGCACGTTCGTAATTGAAACGCTTTTTGGGATCATTCACAAGAATCCTTGGAGTAATTAGAAGTAGTTCGTACAAACCTTTCAACTTCATTGACATTTATTTGCTACCTTCTAATTTCTATATCCACTTAACTAAAAATAACCCACCCTTATTTGGAAAAATGACACCTTCGGAAATTGTTAAGAATTGACATGTGATGATGAACGCTCGAATTTTGTATTGGAGAAAAATGTAGCTATTTAACTGATCCGTTTGCTGAAATTCTCCAAGAAAATGCAGCTTATTTACTAATACAGGATCCGACAACTACTGTAGAGTTCAAGATGGATCGGATAATCCGTAATTTTTAAGTTGTCTGGTAATTCCGATTTTGTTCGTCTACGGACTCGTCCAAGGACCAATCGGTAAACCTAAAATACCGATTGAAGGTTTGAACAAATCTGTTCTAGTTTCTGTCTATTAATGTTAATGGACCCGGACAGACAGGCAGTATAATTTCACAAAGATTTTCAGACTGTTGCTTCTCAATAAAGAAAAATTAATGTGGTTTGTATGGAGCGTAGTTCATTCGTTGTAGTGTGTTTTCAATTGACTTATCTTCATCAGTTAACATTTCAGAAGAAATGCCTCATAGGTAGGAAAGTTACGTGCTGCGCATGCGCAATCCATTTTTTTTTGATACGTGACTTCAATTTGCTTTTTCCTTCAAAATTTCAAAAAATCCGTTTTAACTTAACTTAAACTTAAAAAATCCATACAACCAGCGCAAACATTAGAATTGACAACCGTAATCCGTATAACGCCATATGTAAAACACAAATAACTCTTTTTCAATCGGATTTGGATTTAATCGGTCACCCTTTTGAATAATAAGTGTCCTAACGTGCTCGTAATACGATCAAAGAAGAATTTTAGATTTTAATTTTTTGCCTTTATTTTTGAGTGGGCGGGGTTTCAGCCAAGGCTGCTCTACCCGCTCTACCAACCCAACCCACCATACACTTACAAATATCCATGTCCGAACCCGGATTCGAACCAGGGACCCTTAGCAATTCGAACAAAGTAATTGAACACTATTAAATAAGTCCCGTATCGACAGTATCCGCGACTTTTCCTTCACCTACCGATCACGGTCGAGTACGCTACAATCGTCACTTGATGCGACACCGTTGTCTTTTATACTTGAACGACACTTGTCCTTCGGTGTCGCATTTTTATTAGTTGACAGTTTTTCTCGTCTAATTGCTAGGCAACAGATTTTCATTACCTATACACAACCCAAATTTACTCGATAAAATACAAACCTCTTCTGTGAAAAAAAACTATGGCTTGTGTTTTGTCCGTCCGAGTCCACTTCTGCGGTTTTGAACTACTTTTAGGGTAATTTTTCTGCAATAGGTAAGCTATACCTTGAAGGTTAAGGCCATCATTCTCCATTAATTATTTCCCGAAATACTATTTCTGAATGTAAAACATGCATAAGTTTTACATGAGATATCCAGTTTGTCTCACGCATGCCTCTAGCGGTGCCATAAACAAACAAAAATGGGGTGAGTGGGTACAAGTTCTTCCCTTTATGGTATTCTGAATTCTGTTGTGTGATGAAAGGTTTTATCCAAAGAAATTGGTTTCTACAAAGTATAACTGTCTTTCGCGATTCCTTTTCGAGATCAGTGGGTGACGGGGGGAGACATTGGCTTTACCTTTCATGGCACCCTTATCAAAATAAAGAGGGGGGGGGGGAACTGGATTTATTCTCCATGGTACTCTAATGAAAGGTCTCAACGAAAGGAATTCATTTCTATCAATTATCGCTTTCCTTCACTACCTATTATCGGGATCAGTTCAGTAATTCCCTCTCTTTTTGTAATTGGGGGAGGGGCTAAAAACTGGTATTATCCTTCGTGGTATTCTAATGAAAAGTCTCAACAGCAGGAATTAATTCTTACTGTCCTCCTCTCCAACGACTTTGCGAGATAAGTTATAAGTCTTTATATCTCGAGAACAGAGTGCCGGAAGAAGGCAAAAAGGGACGTCTGGACGAAACGTATCTATTTATGATGCCAAAAGTGCGAATATCTCGAGAATGGAACGTCGGGGGCGGGTACTCACTAAGAGCTATTGGAATAATGTACAAAGTTGAATAGATTAGAAGATTTCAAAATTAGTTGGCTTTTATATACCTAGGTACTTTAATCATTATTACTTTCACAAGCAACTTTTCTGCTAAGATGCTCAATTGTGTTGTAACAGTTATCAAACTATTGACATTTTCGTCTCACTGGACCGTGGACTTGATGTTCACGCGGTTTACACGGACTTCGCTAAGGCCTTCGATAAAGTTAACCACGACTTATTAATATTTAAGCTAAAAAAATATGGTGTTAGCGGAACTGCTTTGATTCTGCTCCAGAACTACTTATGCAATCGGAAAGCACAGGTGAATATAAGTGATAAGTGGTCAAATCCAATTGAAGTGAGTTCGGGTGTTCCTCAAGGATCCCATCTTGGTCCAGTACTATTTTTGATTTTTATAAACGATATATCATCGGTGTTTGTGTCTAAACATGTCTTATTTGCGGACGATCTGAAGATATATAGACCTATTGCAGACCTTCGAGACATGAGTTTGCTACAATCTGATTTAGTGCGACTTGAAAAGTGGGTGGTTGAAAATGACATGAAATTAAATGTTGAAAAGTGTCACGTGATCTGTTTTTCCAGAAGGAACTCTCCATCTTTGCAAAGTTACTATCTGTACGGTCAGCTGATTGATTGCGTGGATTCTGTTCGTGATTTAGGTGTGATCTTGGATTCCAAGCTTACATTTCGATTGCATTATGATCACGTTGTATCTAAAACTACCAAAATGATTGGGTTTATCAACAGGCAATGCAAAAGTTTTTCTAATCCATGCATATTACGCACCCTATACTACTCATTAGTTCGATCGAATCTTGATTATTGCTGTATAATATGGTCTCCCTATCTTACCACACATATCGATAGATTGGAAAGAGTGCAATCCTATTTTCTTCGATTGTTAAAATATAAGCTCTCTTTGGCAGGAATCGTGTTTGAAAGAACCAATGACGTAAAACTATATCTCAATATCATGCGGTTAGAAAATCGAAGGACACTACTTACCCTGCAGTTCGGCTTTAAGTTATTAAACGGCCACATAAACTGTCATACTATCTTGTCTGACATTTACTTTAATGTTCCACAAAGATTCGTTCGATCTTCGAGGCTTCTTTACATGAGACCTAATCGAACTCTTTACCTTCGTAACAGTCCTCGAAATCGATTGTAGGAGTTATTGAACAATTTTAATGATAAAATCGATTTATTTAGTGTATCTCTCCCGATTTTCAAACGCAATACTATAATACTTTTAACAGAATGACGTTTGAAGGGGATGGCCGAGTTGTAGAATAATTTTTAAATATACGGTTTTTAAGTCAGTATCTTAATTGATTGTCACACCTCATAAGTGCAGTCTGTGCGATTATGGTAGAAATCATCACTTATTAAAGAACGACTATAGCAAAATATTGTTTTTTCACTACTAGCGTCTGATGGCAAGATTATTAACCTTTTTTCCACTTGTAAAGTAGGCTTTCTCGGCATTTGTTCAAAGTGGTTAATAATGTGGACATTATTAACTAGTAGTCAATAATGAGATCTGTCACGCTGTCACTTTTAGAAAACACAACCCGAAATTTCGCTCAATAAACGTTTGGATAAGTTCTCTAAAATGAATAATTGCCACCATCGTCATTTCCAGAGAAATTACATACCTATAATTATCACATTTTGAAAAAATTCAAACGAAATTACTCTTTGAAAATATCTCAATGACAGAACAAAATACGGCCTGTTTGACTTGTACTTCTACGTACTTGATTGACATGTTAAATTAAGAAACAAACAATTCTGTCCAACCGTTCACTTTCTTATCAATATAATATGTTAATTTAGAGGACTTCAAGTGCTAGTAGTGAAAAAAATAGTATAGCGCCTCGAGATGTAATCTTGGTGCTCAGGCAATAATACTGTACTTCTCTACCTTGATATAAAATGTACTATTGTGGTCAGTGTAATTGCGACACGAATGGGAAGGCTGTTTTAAGGTGGCGTTTACATTGAAAATTGAAAATTTGTTTTCACAATAACTGCCTTCCGGGTACAAATTTATGGTTGAAATAGCATTCATTCAAATATTTTTATTATTATTTATTTCTTTTATTGTATTGCGCAAATACAAAAATTATTTTGCACATGGACAGACAGACAGACGAATAGGCTGACAGACGGGCAGACAGACCGCAATACAATACGATCTCGTACGGCAAATGTGTAATGCATATATGAAAAATTGATTTTTTAGCATACCTTTTTTGTAAGCGGTACAGAAAAAATTCCTTCCTTGGTACAAACCTCGACACCATAACGAACAAAATAGCGAAAAAAATAGTCGTAGTGACGGACAGACAAAGAGGTCGTAATATCGCATTTATTTTTCTGGAAATGCGCTAAAAAGAAAAATTTCGCTGCCGATCATATAAAAAGTCTTAAATCCACTGTCTCGTCCCAGCGATCCTCAAAAATGAACGTTGCTGACATGAAAACAGTCGTAAAGAATTGAAAAGAACGCATTCACTATTAGAATTTTAATAGAAATTTTACGGATTTTTTGCTTCTGTCAAATACAAATACAAGAGCGAAGCTTTTAGAATCCGCAATATTTCATCGTAAATCCGCGTAAGAAATTGGTTTTTGATTAAAAAAAATGTCAACTGCAGGTAGCTTTCCCAAATGCGAAAATTATGTAAAAGTTAGGTGCACATTTCTTTTAGTAGGGTATCGACAAATCAACCTATTCGGACACCTACGGTTTTCGCTATTATTAGAAATCTTATAAACATAACAAGATGTGTTCAATTTTAGATCAATTTAAACGCACTTTTTTTTAAATGCTTCTAAGCTATGTAAAATAATTGATTGAAGATATTGAAACCGTGCCAAATACTTACGTTACGATCGTGCAAGTATCATTCATTTAAAAAGATCGTAGAAACATGCACGCGTACGCGGTTCCTTGCGTGAATCTGAAAGTAATAAACGTTTTTGTTGTAGAGCCCAAAAAAGATAAGACTGATGGCGCGAAGACGCACAATGGTGCGGTTTCTCCAAATGGAGAACCACCACCAACTACGATGTACTCGTCTGGCTGTGGAGGAGAACCAACACCGGCGAAAATCGAACGCCCCAATTCTTTAGGACCTGGAAAGCTTACCAGACGGTTACTTTGTTACCATAGCGAACACTGTAAGCACTATCAAAATGGGCACTATTCAGTTTCTAACCTTTCGGATTTGTTTCAGTTGCCGAGGGCCATTTGGGTCCGCCCGGAAGTACGCCCCCGCCTCAAGAACGAATCTGTCACCCGCATCCATCAACTTTACCTCTACCAAGTATGCCGCACTCAGGATTTATGCTTTCAGAACTACCGGAACCTCCGATTCCCGTTTCCGAAATCGGCCCGATCCCCCCGCCTCCAATGTTTAGTTCTCCAAGTCCAACACCTCTTAGGCAGCAAACTCCGTTACCCCCCGAAATGGTAGACTATGATTCGGAAGGTGAGTGAATGTCTAATTAAACGCTTGGTAGTAACCCCTTTGATGCAGATCAAGACGACGAACACGACGATATCGACGGTGAGGATGACGACGACCAGTGCTTGTATAGAATGCCTCAGCCCGACCCGACTGTCGACACGAGTAGGGTAGAAGAGATCCCCGCGAAAGAACCACGTTTCAACGCGATGCCGTTAAAATCCGCTTTGAAGAAAAAAGGTTACGGCGGTACCCCTCAAAATACTCCAACCCAAGAAAATCGACCTCTCACCGTTAAACATGCCCAAATTGATACTTCCAGTTTTAAGTAAGTCATTTTTAGATAACTTCCCTTAAATTCTCTACTAACCTCGACAATTGTATTTCACTTTTCAAGCAGGAGGCCACCTTTGCGGCCTCGGATTAGGATCTGGTAATTATTTGAGTACCTAACACTTTCGCATTACATTCCTAGGTGGGCAAAGTTAATCAAAAACTTAACTTCGTTAATCGTTAAAGCGGTTACCGCTTTGTAACAGAAGTTAAAAATTAAACCGTGAAAGATAAAGGATTATATTTAAAATTTAAATTTAAAAGTTAATCCGTTACAGGATATGTTAATTAGTGATTAACGGATTAACGTTTTGTCGCCCACGTCTGTTTGCGTTGCATAATCAGTCTAATTGCAGCGTTTTGTTTTGCAGTACAAAACCGGTTAAGTTCGCAATTGGGCTGCCTTGTACCTTGGAGAATAAGGAGAACGCCAGACCTTACGTAATCAGGGAAGATGACGACTCGGGCGACGGTCCCGTTTTATATCGCGACGATGAGGGCAATTTGTCGGACGAAACTCGTTTGGCTTTGAAAGTTGCGCGAAAAGAAAGCCTTTCGCTGAAATTGTCCCTAAGACCGGATAGGCAAGATTTAATCAATAGAAATATACTCCAAATACAGAGCGAGAATGAGCGGCAAGAGAGCAAGGAGGCGATCGGCGCTCGACTCATCAGACGGTTGAGTATGAGGCCGACTCAGGAGGAATTAGAGGAACGCAATATATTAAAGAGTGAGTAGCTTCTTCAGATCCTTTTTGTACGGTTAACGGTTTTCTGTCATCCACAGGGCAAAGTCCGGCCGAGGAGAAGAAGCAGAAGGAAGAAAAGAAACGTTTTCTATTGCGCAAGTTGAGCTTTAGGCCGACGGTTGAGGAACTGAAGGAGAAGAAGATCATACGCTTTAACGATTATATAGAAGTAACTCAGGCGCATGATTATGATCGAAGGGCCGATAAACCATGGACGAGGTTAACTCCGAAAGATAAGGCAGCGATTAGGAAAGAGCTCAATGAATTTAAAAGCTCAGAAATGGCTGTTCACGAAGACAGTCGTCATTTAACCAGGTAGGTATCTTGGACGCGTAGTGTCCTTATTTTGATTTATTCATCAGAAAAATCAAATAATGCACAAAAAATGACAAGTGAAAGTAGTAGAACGTCTGCATGCATTTTGTTACCAGATGGCAGCAATTGTCACAAATATAAAATGTAACAAATTAATGGGACAGTAAAGTTCACCCCCTTTCTATCCATAAATACATATTGAACTACGAGACTAAAATTTAATCCCGAGTGTAACAAATACGTAACAAACATTGGGTGTTAAATGGGAACTTTTTCCCCAAACAAATCAAGAGTTTAAAGTGTTTTGTGTCAGTGCTACCTTCTGTGAGTTGCTATGTTACAAAATTCAGAAAGGAAAGCTAAAGAAACACTAATACTAGGATTTCGGAGCGCCATAGCTCCCAAATGAAAGATCCTGGATTTATTTAAAAGAACTTTTTTGTTCCTTCAATCATTATATTTTGTGGTATACATATCTGTGACACCCTGTATATTGCGGTATAAAAAGTTGCATCTGCCACATATAATTCCCGGAAAATTAACAAAAAAAAGGTCAAATATGCCAAATTTGTATAAAAAAGGAATAAAATTTAGCTTTATCATTTCATTCTTCACACTGTTATGAAAGCTCCTTTCACTTTCTGATCAGATTTAAAGAGGTGGTATCCAATGGCTGTTCCGATTCATGACTACTACGAGCGCTCATATAAGTTTTGTGTGTTAAAGCAGCACACACATCAGTTGTTACTTTTTACACAAACATACAGGAAGTTTAATGATCATATTATAGGTGTCACTTTCTGCAGTTTTAAAAATCAGCATGTGCAATCAGAAAATATTTATTGTAGTTTTATGTTTTACAGCAAAATAAAGATAATACAAGAAATGAATTGATAACGTTGAAATGGCCGGTATTCCTTCACCTATATATGCATACAGTTACACTAATTAAGCAATTTCCGTTTTTCTTCACTAGTAAATGCAAGGATAACATAATAAATTTCATCTAAAGCGTCCGCGTTCACCTCGTCTGTTACATAGGTGCTTCCTTTTTTGTAGACAATACTGTAAACTCCTTCCAGGGAATTTCCTGACTGAATTTTACATTGCGCATGTAGCGAAAACTTAGCATAATAAGTACACAGTTTAAAAACGGTATCAAAAAATCCATCCACATGATGTATCTATTTCACACTGTTCAAGGACCTAATCTATTTTATAATGAATATTTGTACCTGTGTGTATGTTTTAGTGTAGGAGGAAACCCTAACCTTAATCCGTCCATCTCCTTAGATCTCACTGATTTACTTGGAAACCAAACAATTTATATGTTGGTATTAAAAAAATTAAGTTTGTTATAGTTATGTATGTTTTCCATATGATCCCCCACTATAAGAGTTTCTATCGCCAAGGCATTCATTTCTTACTATTCTTTAGGATGGCAGCATCTGTTGTACCATGTTTGTTTCAGGGTTTGAAAAAACCGAGTTTTTTAAAAAAATCCCAACCCACTAGGGCCAAGTGGGTTTTTCGGGTTTTTTCGAATAAAAGTGGGTAATAGTACTTTTTCGGTCGGAATTAAACAATTCGACAATATGAAAAAAATAAGGCGCCGCAATATTGTGGTTGTGTTGTGGTGGTTCACTTTTACATTTTACTATGGAAGAATACCAGTTTTGAACTGTTCTGAATTGTTAACTTAATACTTAAACGAACTCAAATGGAAGTATATAATTGTTTTATTTTTGTATTTTAAAAATTAAAAGTGATTCATGTATAATTTGAAATATACTTTTGCCATATAAATTTATTTCAAACCAGCCCAAGTAAAAAAACTTGTTAATTATTTTAAAATTAAAAAACCCACAAATGAAAAACCCAGTGGAATTTTTCAAGTGGGCCCAACCCGGAAAAACTCAATGAGTTTTTTCGGGTTGGGTTCATTCAGGCGAACCCTGGTTTGTTTACAGTAATTGACTATTAGAAAAGAAGATTAGTATGGGGCCTTGTGATAGCTATGCTATGACACATAAAATGATGCCATTAACCGCCGATGATCTTGAAAGCGAATGCCTATGCACTATTTTCCAAGGTCACCACAAGGTGGTGAGCGACCATCAAGTGTTCTAGGATCGGCATTGTATATCTACTCGAAATAAATCGCTTGAGCGGTTTCTCCTCCCGCGGAACCCCCGTTTTTGTGGTTTTAGACATAGAAATGTAGGCGAGTGTCGATTTACCCGTCGAAAGGCGTGAAAGATAATTTTTTATTACCACGGCCTGTCGTAAGAACTGTAAAAAAGTGAAAAAACACATTTTCAGATTGAAGGAAGTTATTTAACATATGGAACTGGGTACTCTTCAGTAATTCGTGATGGTTAGGAGTGTGTAATTTGTTCAGTCCAGCGGGATCGCCTTCGGGCACAGGGTTTTTTAGGTAAAGTGGCAAGTTGAACATTCATAGTAGGCGAATGGAGTGAGGTACAAGAAACCTTAACATTGGGCACATTGGCTCCTGTACGGGTCGTGCGGTACAGGCGACATGCGGACCCTAAGTGGAGAGCATGTGAATTCTTCAAGTGAAGATGCACTTTTCGGAGATTAAAGGTATTTTTCCTAGGGCAAAATTGGAAGTGGCGGTGTACTGAACGGCACGCGGAACGCCAATACTTTTCGAATGCGATATGCGGCAAGCCCTCCCCCCCTCGTCCTTTTCGCCGCGTCGACCTAAAGGTAGGATGCCGTAACTAGGGAAGGAGGAGAGGGTATTGAGTTGCATTTATTTACGTTTAGTCGTCGGTTTGACATTATTTCCGAACCGCGTGAAGGGGGTGAGCATTCAAGGGGACCATTGTTGCGAATCAATGAGCGACGATAGGATATACAGGGTGGGCCATTAGTTCGTGAGTGGAAGATTGTGGGTTTATTAACGCGCATACTTAAATGTGGGGGAATCTTGAAGGACCCTTCAGGCTACAATCTAATACAGGGTGATTTATATCAAAGTTGCATTTTTTTTATTGGAACCCTCTATATATTATTACATATTTAGATTCCTTGGTCAATTTTTTTGTAACTTTATTTATTACACATGATGATATCTAAAATGAGCCATTTAGCCGCAATTCGTCGTTTTTTCAAAAAGTAGATGTCCAGTAAGAATTGAATACCGCAGTTGTCATAAAACGGTGACTTTGCAGTGGCAGTAATCATGAAATGTACGCCGAACGACTAAATTAAACTTCTTTTGTGTTATAAGAAATCACTGTCAATTTTCAAAGTTTCAATCAAAGGTACCTAACTTGATTTTTTTTGGAACTACCAAGTTTTTTTATCACATCAAATGTAGGATTTTTTTACCTTTTTAACGATATAAGCATGTCGATATTTATCTTTTACATATTTTTTGTAATTCAACAATTTCTAATAATTCACAGTCTTTTTCGATGTCCAAAGCCTCTCAGTAATTAATAGGCCGTTAAAAATTATAAACAATTGAATTTATAAAAAATTTACATAAAAATAAGAGAAAAATAATTATTTCAACAAATGTTCAAGACCACACCTCCCAGGAACCTGTTGATTTAGCCATTTTTTAACGTTTATAGCAAAATGAGGTAGGACACCATCGTGCTGAAACCACATTTCTTCTACGATGTGCACCAGAACATTTTGAAGAAGAACAAAAAAAAGAGTACTTAAAAGTTTAAAGTAGAGAGTTTAAAATATGTTACTCAAATTCCATTTTTCTAACACAACAACAATCAACAACAGAATTGTAAATGCTAATAAACTAAACTGACAGATGTTATTTCATTTTATTTTGTGTCAATATTTTCTAATATGGCTTTCGTGGCTTACTATTCAAATTGATTAGTTTATAAGTTCACGCATTGGTTTAAATGCAAATTCATTAAGTATATCTTTTAAAATGGGCTACGACAAACAAGAGTTTTGTTTTGTTTTGTTGAAGGTAAATGTTTTATCATTTGAATTGGTGTTCTTAATTTTTAACGGCTTACTGATTACTGAGAGGCTTTAAAAATCGCAAAAACACTGAATCGAAATATGTAATAAATTAATAATATACAGGGGGTTCCATTAAAAAAAATGCAACTTTGATATAAATCACCCTGTATAACAATTGCAATTTCGGTGAAAATGTTTTTAGGTTGTAGCCTTAAGGGTCCTTCAACATTCCTCAACAATGAATTTTAAATATGCGCGTTAATAAACCTACAATCGTCCACCCACACACTAATGACCCACCCTGCATTTGATGGTTTGACGCGTTTAACAGAACGAATAAAAAAATTCGGCGCTACCACAAGGAGCGGCATTTCAAGTCATAGCTCTAGCAATTTTTAGCAACTCATATGTCTCCATTTCTTGTGAATACCGCGAATTACTTTTAGAGGGTAGAAGAGAGAGAAACCAAAGTTAAATTTCTAGCTCATTGTCACGCCCTTTTTTAACTATGGACCATGGCCGTTTGACCGCGAAATTACAATTGCGCAAAAATTAAAAATCAGTCTACCTCACGTAGACAATGCAGTACTTTAAATGGGTACGAGTTAGAGCTTTCGCTTCGCATGCAATTTACTTCTAAAGATGTAAGGTGGAAAGGGGTGAACACTTTGTGGCGATTGGAGAATGAATGCAGTTCAACATGCAAAATCAATCGTAACCCATCGAACACAGTTATCTGCAGAACTGGGGATGAAGATTTGTCTCGAAATTTAAAAAAAAAGGTTGTTTCATTTATGTGATATTCCCAAAAAAACAACACTTCTTTTACAGCATACGTACATGGCAAATTGATCTTTAACCATTTCTAAAAAACCCATCTGACAATTGGTCACTGTTAAATTTGGCGCAAATACCTGTAACAGTGTTTTACAATTGTGGAAAAAAAATTATTTCGTGTAAACTTAATTTATTTGTATCTAATTTTGTCGTTTTTTGTTCCAGATTTCATAGGCCTTGACAGTTGCAAGGAACATTAGAAAAAATAAAGCTACATACTGTGATGGGCTTAGTTGTAGAGTTCAATATTTCCATTTTCATTTTTGATTGGGTCACGATACCTGCCAAGTTTATACACAGATATTGTATACACTTGTTAGTAACTCTGTAATTGTTTTGTACATAATGTGATTTTTTATTATAGGAAGCAATGGAAATTACATATTTAACTGTAAATCTTTTATGTTAAAAGCACTTGAACAAATGAAATGTATATATAGAAAATACGTAGATAGTTTAAGATTCTCCTTATGTTGATAAATTGCGAATACATCACAAACTGTGTTCTCGCGCAGTTTCTGTGATAACAAAATCGTTGTAGCAAGTTCTCTGCATTAATATATTTTTTCTACCTACCATCTTTGGTGGCTCCATAATATTTTATTAATGATATTCACTTCAAGTTAGATAAAAGAAAAAAAAACAATCGTCTATACCTATGTATAATATGATGATAGATCGACTTTAACCTATTTTTTAATCGAACTGTTCTCGTTTTATGTATTTTGACCATGAACCTTATTGTATGATGTAAATTAATCTGTTTATATTTGAAACAATAGACACGTTAATTTTTAAAACGTCAATTTATTGTAACATCCTACTTCTTTACAAAAATGTACACTAAGGCAACGATAGGGCTTATAATAAATACCTTACCCTGCGATCTAATTTGAAATATACTCTTAATATGTACACTTTTTGTAAGATAAGAAAGCAATTGTATTCATATTCAATGGCTATTTATACTGATTTAATAACAAGAAATGTCTTCCAAATAAACAAAGACATTGAAACAGTTATTTTATGATTTTTATTTGCTTGTTTTTATTGTCTCTTACCATTTGGTTAACGTCTCAGATCATTCATTTTATGTTGCATTTAATTTGTTGCAAGGAGATAATTAATTTGTATGGCGGTTCAATTTCATCAACTTGAAATCAAACAATTATAAATTATTTGACAAATGGTGCCTCCCTAAATCCCCCAACAACATCTATGGTATTCCCAAAACAATCGTCTACCTACACGATTTACTACAAGGCACAAAGCAGTGGCTACATATATGACATTGAAATTGGAGATGGTTTTTGATTAAACCACTGCACTATTGTTTTATTGGGCGTCATTGGCCGCTAAGAGAAACCCATGTACATGAAGCTTTGCATCAAGTGGCATCAATCAAGAGCAAGTTTTGGGCAATGAACAATAAATAAGGAATTCCTTTGGTTTTAACAAAAATGGTAAAATGCAGGGGCGGACTGGGTAACTGCGGGCCAGGTAGAATTGCATTAGTTACGGGCCATTAAAGTATTAGTGTAGTAATGATGGTGGCGGGGGGGGGGGGGGGGGGGGGGGGGTTAGCTCTGTGGTGCACCACAAAAACATTTTAAAGTACTCCTTTCTCGAAAATAAATTACCATACAGTTTATTTTTAAATTGCAGCTGATAATTAAAAGTAACAAAATATACAATCCACACGAGGTGCGTCGCCTATCATTGTATTTCAGCACTTTCATGCTACGACAAAAAATTATAAATTCAATTACAACAGAATGTTTTAACAACCTAACATCAACCCCAATTAGAGAAACGTGTTAATAATTTATTAATAGTGCATGAAACTAAATACAGCACATACTTATAAATTTCCAACGGGCCATTATGATCTACAGGCCAGCTGGCAATCGCCACCCGCCCCCCCCGGGCCAGTGCGCCCCTGGTTATACACTGCCTTTTTTTGAGCCCCGAAAAAAAAATTGTCTCAGATCGACCCGGAAAAAAAATTTCCTTATAGGATGTGGCCTGTAGAATCCATAATTTCAAACAGTTCCAAGATTGGGCTACTAGTTCAAAAGTTACAGCCCTTTGAATTTTTTTTCGAAATTGGTTTCTAATCTATAACTTTTGATTGAGAAGTCTGATCGAAAAAGTACGAATTGATTTGGATTCTACGCACCAAAATTAATAAGAAAAAGTGTTCTCCCGAGAAATTTTGGTGTACTCGAATTTTGGTAAAAAAGGAAGGTTATACCAGGTACTTACGGGCCATTAAAGTATTAGTGTAATAATGAAGGTGCCGGGGGGGGGAGCTCTGAGGTGCACCACAAAAACATTTTAAAGTACTCCTTTCTCGAAAATCAATTACCATACAGTTTTTTTTTTAATTGCAGCTGATAATTAAAAGTAACAAAATATACAATCCACACGAGGTGGGTTGTATTTCAGCACTTTCATGCTACGACAAAAAATGATAAATTCATTGTAAAACACTTCAATTAAAACAGAATTTTTTAACAACCTAACATCAACCCCAATTAGAGAAACGTGTTAATAATTTATTAATAGTGCAAGAAACTAAATACAGCATAAATTTCCAACGGGCAATGGGCCGTGATGTACAGGCCAGGTGGCAATCGCCACCCGCCCCCCCGTGCCAGTCCACCCCTGGTAAAATGACCTTGTTTGTTATGGATTATCAGAACTGAACTGAATTTGTAGGTAGATTTTGCTATTATTACAATATATTGTCACCTTGGATTCCAGATTCATTTCTACCAATCCAATGTATTTGGTTAAAACATGGCGGACCTTTCCTCATTACTCCAATTTTTTAGACGTGCGTCACATCAGAGTACATTAACTTAGAGTTAAGAACATAAGTACCTAATGCTTATAACCACACTTGCCATTAAATGAAATTGTTTAGTATCGAAAATTAATTCTTTTAGAACTTGGGGGTGGGCAAACTATTTCTGTCATCAGGGGGGGGGGGCTGTATAAAAAGTTCTCTTCCCTCAATTATTCACAATGACCGGCTATAAGCATTATATGTTGCCAAGGACTGCCATATGAGACATCCCGATGACATGAATACTACTGTATTTTGAGGGAGGCCGCCATCATGTTTGCTTTTCAAAAAAAATGTGAGAAAAGACAATCTTACACCTACAAATAACCTAATGTCCAATTCTGCTGAACTGCGTAGCTACGCATTTTTGTGGAAAAAAATGTTTCATGCCAAAGAATCAAACTAGAGCCGCCCGAGTATATCTTGGCCACTACACTAGACCATCGTGACTGAACTGAGTTCACAATTTATGAAAAAGTTGATGAGAATTAAGGGACATCTAAAAGAGACATGCCCAACGTCATCGCAGTTACTACTCTCTGTATCCCAAATGTGGAAATACAGTTGTACGCACAGGTCCGGAAATTCGAACTCCTATGTGAGAAGTGAGGCTGCGTAGTACCAAAAGTCGTCACCAACGCTGCTCTACCAGCCCAAACCCTCTATACATTTACAAATTTCCATGCCCCATTTCGAACCAGGGACCCTTAGTGCCACAGTCTGGCTTCCAAACCACTGCACCACACAGGCTGGCAAACGCAGTTCTATTTTACCTATCCTTACCATTACCAGATTTGTTGCAAAAAAACTTCAAAATCAAGCAAGATTTATAAATTTTCAAGAGTCAACAGTGTGGCCACCAATAACTATTTTGTTTGCATTTTTCTTTTAGAAAAATACTCATAAAAAAGAAATTCTTTAATATATCACATTTCTAAAAAAAATATATGTATATCTAGAACCAAATAATCAGATATATTTTTTAATTCGTGCAACATTATGAAAAATATTTCGATACGCACTGTATTCACTTGTACCAGTGAACTTTTCGTATATACAAAACTTCAACATATCACATTAAAAATACATAACTAACTTATAATATTTTGTCTTAGTAACATTATAATACAATATAATTTAATCGCGGGACCTAATTTAATACGTAATATTTCGATTATATCACGTTGGCTGAGCATTAAGAGTGCCTCACCGTCAATTTTGTGTTGCCTAAATAGAGCGCTGTGCTTTTCAAAATAGGGCACGGAAGCAATAAACTGTACTACGTCCTCTTCTTCCCAATCTCTAGGGTCCAAACTCCTCTTTACGTACTTTTTTAAATATCTCGAATGCTTCTCCCAAATTTGTTCCGTGTATTCATTATCGTATCCATTTGTAAAAGGTAGTTTTCCATCACACTTCGTGTCAAACACTTTTTCTTTTCTTTTTAAAGGTTGTTGCAAGTCTACACTATTGCCATCTTCAGGTAACCATTCAGTCTTAATTGGCGAATCTAATCTTGGCATTTTTGGAGGTCGTCCCAATTTAGGTTTCCTAAGGATTAATTTAGTGAGCCAAATAAAAAAAATATGCGGGCTACTTACGATGTATCTTTTGGTTCCCGTGACACAGGCACTACAGCCTGCGGTCGCCTATCGGGACTTGACAAACGATCAGGTAACACATGTTCTCTTCCTAAGTTCTCATCGGAATATGGACAATCGGCTGTTGTCGAATGAGTCGAGAACTTTGCACCCATAACGTGTCCCTGTCCTCTGCAACCGACAGTGGGACACTCGAGGAAGTCATACACATCGTTGGGTGCTGAAATGACCAATTATTACAAATCTAACCTGGCAGATTAAAATTAAGACATACTTAACGGAGGTTCTATGGGATGACCTGTCTTCTGACACCAACCAACGGGGTGAATATCTGGACTGTCACTGTCCACCCAATAACTGTAACGGTCCGGCCAACCGTCGAAACTAATCCGTATTTGATGTTCCTTCACTTCGTCCACTGACGCTACACGAACTAACTGGGGCACCCGTTTATCGACACATTCAAGTCGCATTCCCTTTTTGAATCCGGGAATTTGTTTCTGCTTGAAAGCTCGTACGGGAGCTGGCGTCGCTTTAACTTCCTTCAAGTATTTCTCCCACGTGAATGTTTCCGGGTTTGGGTAATCTAACACATTGAGAAGATTAGTGAATAAGTACTTTTGGTATAGGATTTAACCTACCATTTGGCGGAGTAAGGCTATGTCCGTTTTGATCCGCCCAACCTACCGGATGAATGTATGGAGATGTCGGATCTGCCCAATAATCATATATGTCATCCCAACTATCGAAATGTACCAAAATTCTACTATCCATCATGTCCGCAACTGTAGCGACGCACACTAAGGAAGAGTCTTTTTTGTCAACTGCCTCTAACTTCATTCCCACACGAAATCCGTTCGGACAAATCGTCTGAAAACGGAAAAGGTGTGATTTTAGTGTAAGTCTCAATCACTCCTTAGAATAAAACAAACTGGATGCAAATAATATTAAAGCCCAAGATCTTCAGGTTGCAGCGCCGCACGTGGTGACGTCCTGTTTTGAAACGCTATTTTCAATTTTTTCACAAGGAAGATTCGCTTAGCCCTCAAAAAGCGTAGTTTTCCCCGAAAAATGTTCATGCGACTTGTATCCAAAATATCGTTTTTTCAAATGTAAAAAATCCGTCTTCTGGTTTGCGCCCCCCAGTTTGAGAAACACTGCTCTAAGTGATAGGGTGAACATTATTCTTAACGTTCAATCATAAAATAGTGTTTCATTGAGGTGTAGAAAAATGCGCAGTCGCCATGCAAAGGCTGCATGATGGCCTGCCCCAGTTATTTAAATATGCTATATGTAAAAATGCATAATTTGGCACCTTTGGGGAGCTAAATAAAACATCTCATTATACCCTGTACAACTCGCAGTGTTTGAGCAGTTAATGATTCCACTATAAAACATTCCATCTTATTGCGTCATTGAGGATGGAAAGAAGATCTCCCAGTCATTGAAAAAATTAGATGAACGAGGTGAACACTGCAAACACAGTCTTTAGTGAAACTTGCGTTGTTTTGAGGTTGAATCTCAGGTGTTGTTGTGTAATAGGTTGTTGAACAGGAAGCGGACTATTAATTTACACTTCACGTACATTCTAAAAAATGAAAACAAAAAATATGAATTATAAATGTATGACCAGGCGAATTTTACCTAGTTCTCATTTACAGTTTGCTTGAAATAAATTTGAGTTATTAAATTATTTGCGCTATCTTCATTAAAAACATCCTCCTCACCACCGCAGTCCACAATCCACGTGAATCATTAGCATACTCTGCATCATGTTGGCAAAAGATAGCGTGGAAGATGAAAAAATGGAAAAAAGGGTTTCGTTTTAAGAGCTCTCTTTAAAACACATATCCCGCAAGATGGCGCCATAATTCCAAAGTTAGGTATATTTATTAGACACATTACTCTTGTATTACTGAAAATCATGCAAATATCAGGATAAATTCTGATTCTACTAGTCAAAGAGTTGGTAATAAACTTTTTTGGGATTTCAATTTTCATTATTAACCATAAAAACAAGGTTAAAACTTGAAATACTTAACACTGACTTTGAAGTAGTAGGTAATTTTTGAGATTCTTAATACCTTCCCAACATGCGAAATTAATTGCCCAAATATCATCTCGCAAAAATTAATAATAAATGAGTAATGTGGTTAAAACCATCTGACATTGACAACGAATAATAATCAACCATGTTGGCAAACCTAGTAAAGTTCAGGTATTCTCCCCAAGATGGCTTTTGTTATCACCAAGAATGTTAAATGTGTCCAGTGTGATTACTCACACCAATAATAAATACCACTTGCTTTTTTGCCAAAAATAGCGGATGATTGCCATCTTAGAGAGTTTAAGATTGCGGTACTTTTTATATCTAGTGACTTTAAAAGTGCTAATGTATAGTCGCCTTCTACGGGGAAGCGGTAGGTGTTACCATTATAATGACAATTGAATCTGCCGACTGAAATTTCATGAAAAATATCGATTTTTAGCGACTTTAGCGTCGCGCTAGGCAAGATCTGGCAACTTGTTTCAAAGGCCCCTCTTAAGGGTAGTAACTTTGGCGCATTTTCCATGTGATCAGGACTTCCCGAAAGGGCATGTAACGTAAGAAAGTTGACATTGCGCATGCGCACATATAATTTTTGCAATATGCGATATGCTTGTCTTTACTAGAACCATCTGTGGTGGAAAAGTCAAAACAAAAATCTCCATGAATAAGAAAGTTAACATTGATCAGTGTGCGCATATGCACATCTGATTGCAATAAGCTGGCTTTACTAGAAGCATGTGCGTTTTAAATTTCCATGAAATATCTCAATATACAGGGTGCCTACGGGCTTCTCTGTGTCCTTTTAAGGGGCGGCAGTACAGCTCAAAAGGAGTTGACAAACCCCAAAACACCTTAGTAAAAGTGATTTAATAAGCAAGATAACATTTGTTTTATTTTTTTCATTAAACGATTAATCTGTGTACAAATCTAGCAATCTACTACTTAATCAGCATTGTCCAAATGTTTTTAAGTTTGTTTATTTGACAGGTATAAGTTGTTATCAATAATTAACCTCTACTATGACCTTTGTTTGGCTCAAAATCGTATTATTTTTGCCTTGTTTTTTGAAAAGTGTCAACTTTGATTTATTTAAACTAAAAAATAATTTAAGTGGACAATGCTGATTTAAGTAGTAGATTGCTAGATTTGTACACAGATCAATCGTTTAATGTAAAAAATAAAACAAATGTTATCTCGCTTATTAAATAACTTTTACTAAGGTGTTTTGGGGTTTGTCGACTCCTTTTGAGCTGTACTGCCGCCCCTTAAGTAGAGCGTAACACCCTGTATATGAAAGATAACATTGCGCACTCTGCGCATGCGACCGCTAATCGTATAGATTTTTATTGGTTGAGGCGCCAGTGCTATAAGCTAACGAATGTAAAAAGAATGAACTAAATATCTTGAAAACTGTAGGAGTAGTTAAGACCTCGGACGGATTGACGGAGAAAGTGGCCATAATAGCGCCCCCCAACATGAGTTGGACAGACTTTAGTTCTTTAAATGGAAGACAAAACATGTTGATTGAGACGAAATACAAAAAAGCAATATTCATGATCGCAATTGTAGTATAACCAACATTTCGTAATTAATATGACATGTATTTATTTATTTATTTATTATCCCTCTCTTGTTCTGGGCCCTCAACAGGCTTGCGCCTAATTACAGAGTGACCCGCATAATGCTTTTTAGAGGTGTCTCTGCAGTAAACACACCAAACTACGGTCTATTCAGTATATCTTCCGTTGCACGTCATTGCCTGAAGAAAACGACGTACCAACGTAAATTTACTTTCGTTTATTAGGCAACACATTAAGCTTGTAGTTTATTTTGGCCGCAACAATTGGTAGCATTTCGCTATGTTGTCGCGTTTAAATTTATAAATTTGACAGGTTGCTTTTGGTTTACTTTTCGTTTGATTTGATTTTGATTATTTTCTACGTCTTTCGCTGTGCATTGGTTTGAAGAGTAATTACTGAAGAATTTTGATAACCCGTCAGTAATTGTGTTCGATAACGGGAAAACAGACAACATTAAAGTGTGGTTAGGAGATCATAATGTGCAGTTCTCCGAAAATGATTTTAAAGCCGAACTGTTGAAAAGGTTGCACAGTAAGTACGTTCGCAAATTATTTGGTATTATCTAAATCTTGTTGATACTTTTAGGAATAAATCAGCTAAAATGTACCGCATAACGCATTGACCACTTAGCCGAGCAATACGGTTACTTCGTTTTACGATTACCACCCTATCACCGCGTTTTTAATCCTATCGAACATATTTGGGGCATAGCGAAAAATTACTACAATCGACACATGGGTAGAGATGGACGAAGCATTGAAAATTGCATAAACATGTGACAAGAAACACTACAACCGATAACTTCCGAAACGTGGCGCAATTCAGTTAAGGATACGGAAACTGTAATACACGAGTGGTACGAAAGAGAAAAGCAATTAGATCTTGAAAACGTTGCTACTATTATTATAAACTTTGAACACGAAAGCAGTTCCGATGATTCCGATTAATTTGAATATCATCCATCATATCACATAACCTGTAAAATTTTATATTTAGTACTTTCTCTGTAAAAGAGATGCTACATTTGTACAGTTCATAAGTTATTAAAGTATATTGTACGTATATTGTGGTTCCAATTAACGAAATGAATAATAAAAATTATTTTTATTTTATTTAAGGTGTGGATTGTTCACACAAAGAATGCACTGTCTTGTTGACAAGTGACTTAACCTAAATCGCTCAAAACTAGATTTGGCATTATTGCATAGTAATTACGTCACAGAAAATGATGACGTGCAACGGAAGTTATACGGAATAAAGTGTACTTTGAACAAATACAAGTGCTTGTAAAGTGTCCAGTAATGAGTAACCTGCTTTAGAGGTTATGACAAGAAATCGATATGTTTCGTTTAGCAACTTACCTGAACAATAATTTACTGTTGATTCAATACGAAGTAACGCAAATCGTTGCAATTGCACTGTGTTAAAAGGTAAATAGGATTATTACCTACATCCAAAATTCATAATTCTCAGCACCGCTTGTAAAAGATGGTTGTGACCATGGTACAATAAGACAAAGTATGCCTATAACCATTGAATAAAAACACTATAAGAAGCCTAACGCTTATGGAAGAAAGCGCGACAAATCTCACAAATCCCCTTGCACCCGCATTGGTTGTGACCCCCGAACTCTCTTTTCGGTAAATAGGAGGAAAGCAAATTCTCATTCTTCTCAGTTCAAGAATCGACTCTATTGACAGTGTTCCCATTATATTCTCAGTTCAAACTCTGTCGCGCTTTATTTCCACGGGGTTAGGCTTCTTATAGTGTTTTTATTCAATGATATTAGTCACTGGAATCGAATTGAAATTCATCGGAAGATGACTGCGACACTTGAATTATAAATTCTTCAACATCATCTTGAAGATAATCTGCTGCCCACATGCCATCTTCGATAGTTTTCACGTGATTGACATAATATTGCCAATTTTGAACCGTAACTTGTGAATAACCCATTTTTATTAATTCTTCCATGTCCTTTATTTTAAATGTTTTGTTATTCATTTTGATATGATGTTTAACTTAGCCCACACCATTTCAATGGGATTTAATTCACAATGGTATGGAGGTAAACGGAGAATCTCGTAACCTTTTTCTTGTGCAATAACATCAAGCTTATTTTTGTCGTAGGGATGCCGAACATGCGCAACAGAAGCCAGTAGGTCTCGTTTTAATGGATTTTCTTCAATCGGTACATTTTTCTCACGAAGCCAATCTATAATGTGTTCTTTTCTCCACGACATTGTTGGTATCTTCTCCAACTTTCTACTGTGGTACGAGGCATTGTCAATAACAATGACTGAATTCGGTGGTACATTTGGTAGAAGCTGTTCAAAAAACCACTTTTCATAAGTGTCTGCATCCATTTCGTTGTGTGCATCAGCAGTGTTCTTTTTGCAGAGAAAAGTCAGTTCCGCGCCCGGAATAAAACCATTATCACCACCAGCATGTACTAACGCAAAGCGAGGCCCTAGACCAGTGGGTGACTTTAAACCTGTACTGAGTCCTTTGATGAATGCCTGACGATTGCTTTCAACGGTGGTGTCATGCCACGCCCTGCTCACCGAATGACCAATGTTAACCCATGACTCATCCGTATACACAATATTTTTACCTAAAATATAAATATTATGTAATTTGCAATTAAATATGATAAAAAGATTAAGCACCTTCTTCTCTCAACTTCCTGATGCGACGTAGGTATTTATGTCTCCATCGTATAATATCATCCCGTTCAATAAGGATACTCTTGCGGCCAACCTTCTTAAACCCATATCTTTCAAGAGATTGAATAATGTGGTGCGTTTAAAGTTGGGTAGATCGTTATCGTCATTTACGGAAGCTAAGATGCTGTTCATAGTTGGTGGAATATTTGTAATGAAAAAGTTATGCACTTTACGTCGAATAACTGATTGCACATTTTCATCATACACATGAAGACGATCATTGCTTTGTTTCCCTTTTCTTTGCTTGCGTTTTTTCGGGCTTGATACACCTTCGTTTCCGTCTTCCTTTTTAATGGCATAGATGTTCCGTTCAGAACAACATAAAGCTTTACTTGCTTCTTTCACAGCTGCAGTAACGTTCATCGTTCCCGAGAAATAGTTCAGCACGTTGATAATGAGGTGTTTCTCCTTCCGGCTAAAACACTCTCCTTTATAGCGTTTCACGTTAGCAGATCCTGCTTCAGCTTTGGCTTCCATTTAATGGGATATTCTAAAAAGATGAAATCAAATAACGGTTCTACAAGAACACTCAAAGTTACCTTGTATATAAAGTACGAGATGGAGGCGTTCTTAAAAGAAGGATTTTTAAAGCAATGAGACAATAAAATGTGTTAAATACGAAAGACAAAAACGAACCACACACGTAATGACAATACAAGAAGATTTGACGTTATATTTTGTTTTAAAGCTTAAATTCAATCATATATAAGTTTGGCATCATTGCGGTAAGGAATAAGGATAGCGTTATTGAAGAATGACGCAAATTAGTAAAGGAGGGATATAGTCCATAAGACCCCATACTGCATACTAAGGTGCGAATGCTCTATAGGAAGACGCATGCGCGGGCGCGATACGGGTAGAAAGGGGAAGCCGTCAACGAATCAACGATGCCTAATTCTGTTATCAGGCTGAGAAGAGTGGATACAAGGCCCACACTCTCGCTGCACCGATTAGAACTCGACAACAGGGGGATGCGAAAAGACTTAACTCCAATTAAAATACAAAGTTAAACACATTTGAGGTTAGTTTAAGTACTCCATACTTTGTTTATGTCTATAAAGGTGTGCATTTATGCAATTCTATTTAACTTAATTTAACTGTAAGGTGAGACATCAGGATTTTAGAAAGGTATTAATACAAGTATTATTCATTTAGTTTAAGAGATCACCAAGTTTTGTTTCCTTGCGATAAAATAGCTTCTACATTTAGTTTACGAAAGTGTCGCGTTCTGTAGCCCTATATCCTTAAAGTTTTATAAATGGTAGACAACAGAACATACACTTAGCAATAAGAACAAGTAAACCGTTCTAAAGAGTCCTTGATGCCTGCAAAGAGTTAAATTAAATTATGTAGCATGATAAGAATATGAGCCAAAAACATATGAAAACAAAAGTAGAGGATCATCGTGAAGTTGGTTCCACAATAAACTGCATTACAATGAAAGTCGTATTCTTACCATCATTTAGCCAAACATACCTTTTCTTCAAATGCGTACAATTCCTTGTTCACATTTCCTTTTATTTATTTTTTGCATCCAATGAGAGAATAATACTATACCATAGCAAG